GAGATAGGTAGTCATAGTGTCTTGCTAGAGACCGCCTATGACTTGTATGTCCGGAATAGAGATTTCGGGATATACTGCTATATCGAATGAGGCTACAGGGTCACACACGCAGGGAAGGATAAATGCACGAGAAAAACGTCGAAAAATCTGGACAGAGGTTCGGACCGTCCGGTCTAGGAGTAGACCGAACAGACCGGAGCATCTAATTCGAACGGACCAAGTTGTTGGACCGAACGGACTAGAGAGTTCAGTCCGAACGGACCAAGTGTTGGACCGAACGGACTGACCCATCAGTTCGAACGGACCCAGTTATGAAACTGGTCCGAACGGACCAAGTGTCCGGACCGAACGGACTAATGAGCAGTCCGTTCGGTCTGGGGTTCGGATTTAATTTTAAAGTCCGAATCTAGGGTTAATCACTTGAATAAGAGGAGAAATAGAACCCTAACACTAAAGAGCCGACCTAGAGAACTTTTCAGACCCTTTTGGAGAGTCTAGAGGGTTGAAGAAGTGATCTAAATCTCTCTTTCTCAAAGCACATCATCGAATAGAAGATTCGTGTCCTAGCAGACAAGTTCCAAAGGTTGGAATCCATCCCGAGGTGTGGATACGTGTAGAGGGCAAGGTATTCTTCCTGCCTATAGTGATCGGACGAACACATCAATTGAAACAGGCCCTGGATCGATTGAGGTAAGCGTTCTAACGTTTCTACAAGATCATGCATGATAGGTTTTAGGGTTTTATCAATTTTTGTTTTACATCCGCTGCGCAAACCCTAGAACCGATCTCTTAGGAATAGGATTCGCTCATGAGATCCCAGAAAAACCCAACAGTGGTATCAGAGCCTGGTTTCTCTGCATGATTTTGTTAGAACCCGATCACGCACGTTATAGAATTTGAATTGTTTGAATCCGTGTTGGAAGAAATCAGATGAAGAGATGATCATGAACAAAATTGGTTAGAAAATTCAAGTCTATGATACTAAAATCAATAGAAAAACAAATTGGTTAGAGTAAATTCTACGATCAATAAGATAAATCATATTAATCATGAATATAAACAATCTAAATGGGAAAATATAATAAAAATGCTATTTGGACATGTACCATCAATCACTGATAAATGATAAATGATGTGATTCGCAATTTTGATATTAATTTTAGGCCAGTTGGCAAAATATAAAAAAAAAACGAAATTTGCAAAATATCTCACAAAAATAATTTTTGTATACTATACTTTTTTTTCTTCTAATTACCCGAACTATCTTTCAGAGTATTTTTCTAAGATTTTGTGATAAACTATCTTTTAGAAATCGGTACGTTTTGCTATTTGATCTTATTTTTCTCCAACATTTTCTCTATCTCCTCTATTTCTTACAGTTTATCTAATCTATTCAAATACTCTTCTGGTTGATTTGTTTTTCTGTGATATTCTGATCATTTTTTGTATGCACATAAGGTGTTTGATGAAATATCTGTAAAAGAAAACTGTAAAATATGATCTGCCGTCTGTGAAAAATGACCTGTGCTCTGCGGTAAATGACCTACAACCTATGGCAGATGACCTACGACACATGACCTGTGATATGTCGCAAATGACATGCGGTCTGCGGCAGGTCACCTGCCACCTGCGGCCTGCGACCAGATAACTACGACCAGATAATTGCGACCGTGATTTCACTACGACCAGATAACTACGACCGTGATTCCACTACGACCAAATAACTGCGACCGTGATTTCACTACGACCAAATAACTACGATCGTAATTATACTACGAACATAATGCAAATACGACTAGATAATTAACGATAACTACGACCGTTGAACATAATGCAAACGTGATCAGATAATTAACTGTAACTACGACTATGTCCATTTACCTATTCTCTCGATCCTTTTGCTGGTTGGACCAAATCTTCTCGTCTATATCTCTCTGCGATTATGTGATAATCTGTCTTTTAGAAATCAATGTGTTTTGAGATTTGTCCTTCTGTTTTCTCTAATATTTTCTCTATTTTATCTATTTCTTATAGTTTATCTCATCTAAACAAATATTCTTCTGTCTGATTTCTTTTTATGTGGTATTCATATGATCCTTTTATTTTCTGCATACAAGGTGTTTGATAAAATAATTGAAATAGAAAACGGTGGCAGGTTCCAGTATGTGACATGCGGCCTACGACAGGTCACCTGCGATATGCGACAGGTCACCTGCAATATGCCACGGTTGACTTACGACATGCGGCAGGTCACCTGCCACATGCAGCAGGTGACCTGCTAACCTGTGATGTGATGACCTGCTGACCTGCTGACCTGCAAGTGTGTTTTTACGAAACTCATGCAAGTGTTTTTCTATACTTATATAAGAAAACAAAATCCATATAAGTGTTTTTTTCATGGGTGTGGAGGAAAACGAAATGCATGCAAGTGTTTTTTTATAAATGCAGAAAATCTGCAGGTTGTAATAATATAGAAAGGTATGATGATCATTTGAACTTAAAAAATTATAGAATACAAATATTACAATAGTAGAAGTACAGAATGCAAAGACGTTTTTTTTTACATTTATGCAAATTTTTCCATTAATTTTTTTAGTTCTCTGTCAAACAAATATTGTCACCCAATTCATTGTAAATGATTGCTAATTTAATTAACAGAATTAAAGAAATTAAGGTTATTATATAAAGTATATCGGTAAATTTACAACATTTATAGGACTTAATTTAATTATTAAAAAAATATTTGCGGTTGTTGAGGTACTATAACCTCAATGAAAATTGAAAATAGAAATTTTATATTACAAGAATTTATTTGTATGAAATTTGATCAATTGTTGAATACAGATCTCCTTTTTTTTAATTCAGACTAAATGAACTAAATCAACTAATCCAATTATTCACCGTTGGAATCCTATATTAATCACCATGTATATGATGGTAAGTGAATAGCGGATAAGATCGGTGAATATGAATAGGATGGAAGAAAGGAAACCAAAGGAACGATATTCATTTATCAACTGATGTGACATACAAACAAATTGTTGAAAGATATAACCGAGCAATAAATAAGGCCGAAAAAATATATCCGAACCTATAACTGATATATCAAATATATAAATCTGGTATAAACCCTATTTAACGGGTCGTAATGATAAAATCGTATTTCACCGTACACGTTGATAGTGACCTCTAACAAGACATATCAACTACACACGTTAAACTGAGTTATCACCTCGATTGTGCCTACAATATCATTGAACTAATGTCCCTTTGTCTCGCTATATATTCTTGTCGAACGTAAGACAAGATGTCAATCAACTTTAACCAATTCAACCGCTTTCTCATTCGTTAATCATCTGTCAATATAAATGTCCGATAACTATGGCTTGGTGATCTAGGTGAATGATTTTGGTCAAGTACTAAAATACTTAAACTAAGTCGATTCCGCAAGAATATTGATCTATT